TCGTGTAAGTTTTTGTTAGTACTTAAAGAAAATTTTGTAAATGGTCATGAGTAATCTGGTTACCTATCACACGTTACAAAATCCGGCGACAATATTGAAGGTGAAAGTAGCAAAAGGTCTTTTTGAGATGGCTATACGTACAGTGCATCAATTGATCCATATGGTCTTGGAGATAAAGGAGTCGTCGTTAGTTTTATAGATGATGAAGAAATCGATCCGTTAACATTATTAAGGTCCAAAATATGTTTTTATGAAAATCGTGCATTCGCGTTTTAGACCAAAATTTGAAGTAAATTGTGAGCATATTGCACACAAAGGGCATATAAATATGAAAATAAATATATAACTAATAAATTTTGATTACTCGATGTGCTATTGATACAAAATGTTCGTATACGCTATGTTGAATTGGTTGTGAATAACGAGCAACATCGATCAGTTTGAGCCAAACGAGTATGTCTCCACGGGCCGACGCCGACATCAACTCTTTGCGCCTTTGGCACACTTGCTGTGCTGACAACGCGCCCACGAAACGTAGTCTCACGTTGCAAAATTGTCTGGTCGCTGAGGTCCAGGATGTTGACATCTTTTACAACAGCATTAGTAAACTAATTTGTAAATCAAACCTAGCGTATCATGTGTGTAGTATAAGTAATCAACATGTAGCGTTTTGGTTTTCTGTGTAGGTTTACATTGTGTTTTTGTAAATAAATATATATATACATGTCGTATAAAAACTTACTGACGCACAGTAGGACGTTCCTATGGTCGTCGATGTAATATTGCATAGAAAGACCGTATGTATAGTTGCCACTGATGTTGGTCCATAAAGAAATAAAATGGTTTCTGTTTGTTTACCACATAAGTATATTTCTCTCTCTCTCATCTTAAGTTAATATCTAATGGAAACTGGTTTCAGACGCGCAGCGGCTCCGAAACTTACATAAACAGTATCATCCTAGGCTTCATTTGCCTCACTCCATTAATGTTAAGTGGTGCTTTAGTCAACAAATTGGGCAAAAAATTATTGTTACTAGTTTCTGGAGTATTAACTGTAGCAGTCACAATCTGGTTAAGATGGGCAAGTTCAAAGGCGGAAGTGGTGGGACTCTTCGCTGCTGACATGGCTATTGGGCAGACTATGATGAGTCTTTTACAGGTTACCACTGTGGAAATTTTTCCTACTACCACCAGGTAAGTATTGGAATTATCAAAACTGTGCATATTAATACTATCCATATAATAGATTAATGTTCCCATAAATGTACTTCTTATTAATGAATTCAAGCTATTCCCTTTGTACATATTTTACCGTATCAAGACGTATGTCCCCTTTTAACTATACGACTTTGGAAGTTAAAATTAATTTCCAATCTTTAAATATTAAATGTAAGATTTCATATTTTCTTTTTCATCCTAGTTGCAATCATATTCAGTAGATATCAGGATATCATATGTGTCAGGACAAACCACCAAAAAATAAATATTAATCTTAAGACCTTCCAAGCCCTCCAGGTCTTTTGTGTTTCAATCACTTATCTGAAACAATAGACTATTAACCTTTTGTTTCTGAGGTTGAATGACATGAACCCAATAGACATAGACGCCTAAGGTTATCGGTCGATCTATTTCAATGTCCTTGGGATACTGTCACACAAATCGTATTCGTAATTGCAAACGATATCATGTACATATGTATATTGCAACAATAGATAGAACAGAGTTAGGAAACCGCCTTTGTAGAAGTTTGAATCCCCTTAATGGCTTGTATATGTTTCTCGAATTAATGTGCACATTACATATTGAGGATCGTGTTCTGAATTGGTTCCACAAAGAATCGAGGTCTTGTTCCAATAATTATTATTGGCAACTTCAAATATAGGACATGAAGTATGTTTTCGGATCTACAATCGCGTATATTTGTTCGATTAAACAAACCAATGTTTCGAGATCTTTAGATACAGATTCCATAATTATAACTGACTGATCGTGATTCCGTTTCGTTTCTAAAATAAATGGGGATCGTGAAATCTTAAGAAATCAAAGCATAAGTGTTCCTGGACTGTTAAAGTTTAGGGTATAGAAGACTTGTAATATGGGAATACTGAACGCATTTTGTACCCTTACATTTCAAATTCTATCAATACAATAATTTTTTTTAAATTTTTTTTTCTATCAAGTATTGCCTTTAACATTCTTATCGTCTAAGTCTACGCATGCCCGCCAGCCAACTTGGCGGCTAAACAATTACTTCCTACAATGTAACCGCTGAAGACATCGAAGTTATGAAGACGGAGGAAACTTCGTAATTCGGACTCATTTTAACTTTCCATCTCTCTCACATACATACATTTATCTCGTTCACTCGCATATTAAGCTGTGTAAGCAAGAAATACCTACCTACATCTTTCAAATGTAAAGGCTTACTTTAAATTTGATCACGGCGAATCATATGCACAAACGAATTTGCAGTCAATAGCATAGACAGCTGATAGTTGAGAATGCGCTGCTGATAGTTGAGACTACGCTTATCTATTATTAGGAAGTTTTGAGTTTGGTTTATAAAAATACTATACCATTAATTAGTTGCAAATCATGTGCTTATTTATTTTAAATTATTATTGGTCTCAAAAGTGAAGTCGTCATCAAGATGCTTTCTAAGGACAACGATGTCATCGTCATCGTAGTAAACAAAAGCGTGAATAACTACGGTATTAATCTTTTTTTAGATGAGACCAGGGGGCCTACCACAACCTCTCAAAACAATATTACATTAACCTTAGTTGACTTTTCGTGCCATGACGCGCTTAAAGTAAGCTTATTATAATGTTAAAACTATGATGTTTTATTGGCAGCTTTGTGACTATTCATTCTCTCAGTTCGTACTATGACACGACTTTAATATTAAAGTAATATTGTCCTTATGTCAAATTCAGTAATCTTAAAATAGTTGCGGACGCTGTGGAAATATTGATTTGTAATGATTAAAAGTTAAATTAAACTTGTTTATTTACATAAATCTCTTCAATATTTTTTAATTTTTTATTTAATAGTACACAGGAAAACATTTCTCGTTAAATAAAAATACGCGATGTTTATTTCGTAAAATTACGACAGCGACATCTGTATGCTCCTTGGCGATACTAACAGTTGACACTAGACTATAATTCCGTATTCACAACGTGACTATCAAGACTCAGCTTGTTTTATTTATTTTCCTTAATATCAGAGTAATATCAGAATTGAGTGCTAGTTATTTTAGAACCAAAATTAAAATGTTGATCTTTAAAATGTATTTTTTACATTTCAGAACCTTAGCAATTGGAATAATGATGACAATGGGCCGCATAGGTTCTCTTGTGGGTAACGTAATGTTTCCTGTACTCCTGAGCATGGGATGTGTAGTTCCATTCTATACTTTAGCCGGTTTCATGACTGGTAAGAATTGCATCTTTCATTTAATTTATAAGCAATGAACAAAACTCTCTAATAAATAATATAATGCAAAATAACAACCATTGTTAGCCATTTTTATCGTAAATCACCTGTTATAAGTTTAAAAGCACTTACATTTCATAGGTGCTTTTGTAAATATTCTATCTTTACAATTATATAATAGTTAATAATTGAAAAAATATTCTTAAAATTGTATGATTTGGCACAAATTGGACGGGGGTGGTTGGTAATGAGTAGTGGTGAGAAAAATCAAAAAGTTTAATGGTAAGTTCCAAAATGTTACCTATAACAAAATTTGCATGTTGTACAAGCTTAGAGGATGGAAAAAATATACAAGTCGCGTAAAATGTATAAATTTCGGATGTTCTCAAATTTTTACTAGAAAAGTTCATTTCACATAGCACGGGAATCATTAAGAGACATTAATTTAAGAAGACATAATAAATAAAATGAAAAGTATTCAATTATTATGTAATTAAGTTACTAAAAAAACTACATAACAAAATTGAAAAAAATGAACAACAACCAAACAAAAAGGCGAGACAACAAAGCGTTTCGTTGCTGTTGATTTTATGTTTTATGTCATTTATGAGAAAATCCAATACAACATATCTGTAACACAGAAATTCGTAAGGTGTGTTGACTCGATCTCTAGCTTAGTCGGTAGAGCGATGTCACTGGTTTGGCATAGAAGCAGGTTACAGTCTTGTTAGGACGAAGGAATATTTCTTTGTATTCGATCTTTTTCTTTTATCGTCTCTTTGCCAGCCTTTAATTCTGAGTGTATCTATTTCCACTCATAGTGATACTGTTCTGTACCGGATGCGCAATCCCAGATACAGAAGACTTAATCCAACGTCCGGCAACGCATTTGCTACATATAACTACATTATGTCGTGACTACAGATAGTCGTGCAGTTTAAAGTGTCGTGACTTGTATGTTTAAATTAAGTGTTTCACACAAAGAACAACACGATTAACTGTCGGTTACAACTTTTTTGATGTTACGATTACAGACTGTCGTGGCAATGGGAATAACTAGAACGACAGTCGTCTGACGATAAATAAAACGTCACGATAAAAATGTGACGACAGATAATCGCAGCTTCAAACGATTCTGTCGTTCAAACGACAAGACGGCTGCCGTGAACTGATAAATTATCATCATGATCTTATGGGAACAGCTAGACACGACAGTCGTTCAACGATAAAATAAACGTCCACGACACAGTCACGACAGATAGTCGTGGTATGGGAACAGGTTAGATGCGACAGTCGTCTAACGATAAATAAAACGTTACGATATAATGGGAACGCGGCCTTACAGTGCTTAAAGCGCTTACGGCGCTTACCTCTTTCCATTAGGCAGATGCTTTAAATTAACGCTAGCTCTTGATCTTGATGTAAAAGGATTAATAAATATAAATAACCTTCAGTTTATTGCCTTATTGCCTTAACAGGCATTCAACTAACAACCGAACAATAATGTAAATTGAGTTAAAATTTAAGAACGACAATAATTATAAAAGATCTTTAAATGAAGTTTACGAGGCCGGAGTTTGCTCTCATTAAATTTACCGTAGCGAAGTATTTTATTACACAGAAACAATTTCATTAAATGATCAACTTCGTAGTTACTCATCTTTGCTATAAATTTCAATTTTAGAGATGTAAATGAACCTTGAAACTGTTAAGTTGCTTTGTTTAACAAAGTGCCAAACGACTAAATCACCGAGTCTGTCACTTACATCAAACGTTTTTGTTTCTTCAGCTTGAAATAACGTATTTTACAACTTAATAAATAATCATCTACGCACTTACAAAATGTCCTTGGCGAGGTCATGCAAAGATCATACCTGTAACAGAGAGAACCCTGAATTAATAACAACCACTTAAGTACACTACTTGAGTAGAACCAATCCACACGTGATCAATGTAATGGACTTCGGCTAGGGACACGGTACCTATCTATACTCGTGATTAGTATCGGATAAACTGTACTTGTAAAAGTATCGATGACTTGTGGTATAGATACTTTTAGATAATGTGTTACTGATTCTTACCACTTAAATAAAACATAGAATAAGACACTCACTATTATTAATAAATTATTTGTTTCAATGAAAAATTCTAATATGAAAAAATGGTTTTTGATGCGCTAGCATGATATGAGGTACGTCTGTCAATTGTCATTGGTTATTGAAAAATCAAACGTAGCAGTAGAGCTGTTTGTGAAAGAGTTCGTCTAGGGAAGTACTGTGACCTTATTTATTTCTGCCGCCAAACAATAATGTGAGAGATGAGACTTATCAACTTATGTCTCAGAGTGACGGGCGGAGTGGAAGTGCCCGTCCGATCTATGCGATTTAAAGCTCATATCTTGTATCACAAAAAAAACGATGTATCTAAATAACTAAGTACATCACAACATTTCCACATAAGTAACCAATGACAAACATTTCAGGGCAGTTCCCTTGATATCATAAAAATACAATTAAATAAAGATAAATAAAATAAATAACGCACACACTCAACATAGCCCCGCACTAGGGAAACCCTGTGTCGCGGGTGCCATGGACACACATATAGACAACCACAAATTACACCCAAACTCACGAGAGAAATAAATGTAGGCCATACAAACATTTCTCCCGACCCGGGAATCGAACCTGGGACCTCTGCGTGGCGGTCCGGCATGGTAACCGTTCGGCCACGGAGGCAGTTTAAATTAATTTTAAGTTAAGTTTAATTTTTAATTACTTCAAATATTACATTTAAATCTTAGGCCTTACATTTAGTAGAAATTATTCGGAACAACTTGTCATAAAGCACTACAGTGCGGCACGCTATGATGGCCGTTTTGACAGATTACAATAGAGAGGTCAAATATCAATTCATTATCGAAAAAAATTAATCAAATGCGAGTCGCATCTATAAGTTTATAGATTTGTAACTAGTATTGCAAGGAGCTGATTAAAAGTTTAATAAAACGGAAATATAAATGTTTACTTAATATCATCGTCAATTCGAAACTGCTTTGTTTTGCATTGAGCTTAGACGCGAGTTTGCCGGGGGTAGAAGTTGTGCTGGGCAGCGATCCTATAAGTGACGATCGTATTAGATTTATTTTTTATAAATATTGAATTTCGAAAAACGAAGTTGTGTCGTATAATTATACATCCATAAACTTGACGGCACGTCACTATTGACAACAATGAACAGCAATTAGCTCCTTCAAGATAGTTATGAATTAATACGAAACTGATGAGCGGACAAACGTGAAAAGCGTGAAAGTATCGAGTACAAAAGTATCGATACTTTTTTCGTGTCACTAACTGCAGTTTGAAACGTTAAGAGGACACCCCTATCCACCAGCTGTGAGATGTTTATGACGAGTTGATAATTATGATAATGAATAAAATTAAGATCATCGAGTATATAGCCAGAAATAGAGACGAAATGTCATTTAATTTGTTTGAAAACTATTCTGCCATATCATTACTGTGACAACTGCGCTCCGATTGGCTAGCCCGAGTTCGAAATAATTGACGAGTGTCATCATTGGGTGTCGTCAATTGTTTCACTTCAAATCGACCAGTTAACTTGAGCTTTGCTTTAATGGACGAAAATTGCAAAATTACATATTCAATATTTAATTACCTATGAAATGTGATTCCGTTTGTTTTGTAATTAGATGTTTTGCTGTTTTTCCCACACCACCGAATTGAACAGCACGGCATTGTTAGAGATATTAATTATCTTTATTACAATAAATAAAAAATATTTTTTGGAATATACGGAGACGTACACACAGGTCAGTAGTTGGCCTGTCTATATTTCAGTGCAAACGGGAGTTGATATTTATAAGAGCTGTATCGCTAATGTGTTACCAGGAATATATGGCCCTTATTTCGTCTCTATTTCTGGTTATAGGTACACACATCAAAAAAAGTTTGCGATCAATAGCATAAGCTCCTATAATTCTTTAAATTTAACTTTATCAAGAAAAAATGTATGTTGTATGCTTTCTTTAAATAGGAATACCCTGTTTGAAATTAAAATATAAAACTATTTTTTATTATTTATTTTAAAAAATTGAGCCATTAATCATAATGTAATAGTGATAGAAATTTCATAGAAAGGAAAAGACTGTTTAATTAAACTTAAACAACAATTTATTATTAAAAGGTGTGAATTCAATATAAAATAACTCCTCCCCTGGCTCGAATACATGCGAAGATCCTCCTGGGCACGCTGAGGATCAAGTTATCCAGCATTTCCTGGGGTAACCTATCCCATTCTTCAATAGCGGCTTCCCTGAGCTCTGGAACTGTCTGGGGACGTGGCTCACGGTTCCATACTTCTCGTTTAAGAGCATCCCACGCGTGCTCTATTGGGTTTAAGTCGGGCGAGCCGGCAGGCCAGTCTAATCGTGTGATATCGTATTCTTGAAGAGCAGCATTGACTCGTTGAGCTCGATGTGCGGGCGCATTATCATCGACCAGTACAAATTGGTGCCCATGGTTTACTCGGAATGGTCTGACGATATCATCAATAGCAACTGCTTTGTACATGTCTGCTGTCATGAAGTCCCGATACGGGATCAAAGGCGTTCTAGCTCCAATCATAATGCCACCCCAAAAGGACACCGATTTTCCGCCTTGCTGAACTGTTCCAGTGGCAGTTCTTTGTCTTTCACGGTCGCCTGGTCTTCTCCAGACACGGACACGTCGGTTATCTGGATGAGTGCTGATTCGGGATTCGTCAACGAAGAGACAGTTTTGCCAAATGTTTTCGTCCTCACCTTCTTCATTTTGCCGAAGTCTAGCCCACTGAAATCTTCGTTGTTGACGTTGCCGGGAATTGAGCGGAGCTCGCCAAGACCTCCGTGCTCGTAATCCAGCCTGGTGCAAGCAATTGCGAACGGTCTGCGTGCTAACTTCAAGCCCAGAGGCGGCCCTGACTTCTGCTTTTATTTTAGTGGCGTTGATTGTTGGATCACAGGCTGCCAGCAATCTAATATAGCGCTTTTGGGCAGCTGTCAAAACAGTTGGGCGACCGCTGCGGGGTCAGTCAGCTAAATTCCCCATTCCGTGATACCTCTGCAACGTAGCCACGACACAGGATTGGGATATAGCAAGTCTGCGTGCTATTACTCTCGTGGTGTATCCTTCTTCCCTCAAAGTTACTATTCTAGCTCGTAAAACCTCTGATAATCCTCTTGGCAATTTTTCAATCACAACTTTCCGCGAAAAATATCTTGAATCGCTTATAATTGACTAAATCAGATTTCTGAATGAGCGTAAGCTAGGACTGAAAGCCTTTTTATATGAAAAAACAATTGAACGGGGTCATTGTTTTATGTTCTAATTTATTTTTAAATAAAGAATCTAAAAAGAAGAAAAAATCATAATATAATCTACAGTAACAAAAAAGATTTCAGTTTTTCGAAGTGATCGCAAACTTTTTTTGATGTGATACTCGATGATTAAGACAAACTGATTCTTTTGTTTTTAAACAAATTTATAATTATTTGACAATTGTGTAGTCTTTAATGTGTTGTGTGGGAATATAACAAATCTTCGGGTAAGTTACATTTTCAATAACAATAATACACACGTGCATATTTAGCATATTTAGAACAAAAAAGTGATAATATTAAAAAATAACGTTCAAACGTAAAAGTAAAAGTAACGATTAAATGAATAAGACTAAGATTAGATATAAAGTGGGAATTGACATCTTTTATCATCGACTTAGAGCAGCCTTTCTCTTTCTTTATGAAAAATAAAGTCGAAATGGAAAGGTTTTGTGATAATACAGAAACAGCTGAAAATTTAAAAATTGTAACAGTTTTACATGGATTAAATAAAATTTTACAATAATGACATTGACTTACAATTATATGGACGTCGGGTCCGCGCTAAAAAGCGTCCGAACTTATAGGGCGTTAAAATCGTATACAGAGCGTCATTCACACTTTAGTCTTCGTTTGTTCGACTGACAGCGAAGCAAGCAAAATTAGACAGTACTGCGATGACATTACAATTTAAATTCAACGTTTTAGCTTTTTCATATTCCTTTACATGTCACTACGTTTAAATAGGTTGACTTGGGACATTTTTCTCGTGGTTTTTGTATTAGACCCGTCGTCCATTTATTTGTAAGTCAATGAATAATGATAATAGTTATTTTTGTAATATTATTTTAGTTTTTCTTTTTGTATGGTGAAGAAATGGCATTTGCATAATACATTATAACTTTAAAACTCAATAATACGCTAATTTATCAATCTTTGCTGGTGTAAGAAAACACCGCAATTCCTATCAGAGACCATGTACTAAATTTTCCTTGTTGCCACACCGTTTAACTCGCAAAATTTTAGAAATAAATGTTTCTCCTATAGCCTGAAAATGGTGACCTTTGACCTTAATAATCACAGATCCCGAATTTAAATTCAAAATTCAGGCTTCGACGCGATCCGTAGAACTGTATTTAATACGCTAATTTCAAGCATACCGTTTGAGGAACGGCTTAGTAACTCCGTCCTTAGATTGCGAAATTTGATCGGATTCCAAGAAAGCTCCACTCGTTTCGCTTACTACGCTTCGACAATCATGAAGACTCTATTATTAACATAGATATGGTAATGAATTCTGGTAGCGTAGCAGTCCGCCATGGTAACCGTTCGGCCACGGCATGGAAGTTATATAGAAATTAATGGGATCTAGGAGAAGGATATAGGCTACATTTTGTCACAAAAATAAATCTTATAAGAGATCAAGTAGGGAATGATGAATGAAACCCATACAAACTTGAATGGGGAACCAACCATTTCTCAAGTACGTAACACAGTAGGCTACTCGAAGTACTCATTCTACGCAGACGCAGACGCGGGCACCAGTTAGTTCATAATTTCCCAAAGTGGTCCCTACTGCCCCCCCGGTCGGCGCTAAAAATTCCTGGGGAGGCGGGCTTCGGATGCAATTACAGGGTGTTGATGCCGTCCAGGGCATGCTACGGCATTTAAAAAAAACCTGAATTAGCCATATAAACTACACTACAATTGTTTGCCATGTGATTTTTTATGTTAATGTACAAAATACGTGTCTTCAACTGAGCCAAAAGCAAGGGAACCTATGAGCTAGTTAATTATAAATTCGTTTAGAAACAAATTTACCACTCTATCTTAATTTTATTCAACATCATTACCACCAGATTGTCATCAACATCTCACAGCTGGACAGAGTTATCCTCTTAACGTTTTAAGCCAGTTATGGACACGGAAAAACGTCGATAATTATACATATCGAGTAATTTCCTTTCAATACCGACACTTTTATACTTGATACTAATAAAATAATGTCTCCATGGAGCAAAATATCCTATCTACAATATTTAAAGCAAATTCCGTGCGTGTCCCAAATCATGTGACACCCTGTACTTGTGTCTGTTTGATATGTGTCCAATTAATTATTTATTTATGTTCCTGTTAAAGGGCTCTCCAAGTTGGGTATTACCTATTATAGGAGAGATCTAATTCCAATAGTGGATTTTAGTAATGTTTTATATAACCGAAATCATTTTCTTTCTTTCAGCTGTGACCGTAATGAGTATTTTAGTGCCAAAGAAAAAACCAGATATGTAAAGTCTATGAAAGTAAACGTGGACGTGAACAAGGGAATGAAGTATGCCGTTATAATTACACAAATACAATCTTAAAAACAAATCATAGCTGTTTTTGTTCTTGATACAGGTGGGTCGAATACGGGATCGCTCAATGAGCAACTTTATTTTCCTTTTGTTTTTTGTTTACTACTACATTATACATAATTTACAAAATATTTATTAAATACTAATTACTAATTAGGTAATTAGTAAGTGCAGTTGAGTACAAAGAGCACGCGGGAAGCCGCAGCACCGTCCTCTTTATAGGGCGTGGAAAGAGCCATCTGTTGACACCGTCCGGAACTATCTGACAACTAAGAGGACCAGGCTAATGTCTTCCGTAAATCATCGGTTGAAAGTATGCAAACAACCGAGTTAGTTTTTGGAATGTAGGTGGCGCTGCCACAATTAATACTGGTGATGCAATGGAAGTGTCATAACGGAAACAGAAACTGATGTTAAAAGTGAATCTTAGCTGAAACAGAAACGGAAGCAGATGCTGAAACGGAAGTGTAAGTACTGTAAATTACTCGACAAAATAGGTCACAAAGGGCTTGTTTTTAGTTTCATAATTTCATTTAACACACACAAAACTGCTAAAAAAGCGAGCCCTACCGCCAAGCAATCTGTCTTATCCATCGTGAACGCTGTAAACTTCCGATTAAAGCTCAGTTATAAAGATTGCGGAAGCAAAAGCAGAGGTCTATTACATTACCGATTAATAGCAATGGGTGCGTATAGGTGTCGTAACAATGGTATAATTGAGAAAGTTGGATTCTTTAATAGTTTTAAACACAGTTCTTTGTTTGATCCAAGTATTCTTAAACAGGCAAGAATTAGTGATGTAGATATTGAACGTCTGCTCGTTCAGACTAAAATATAACTACCAGAAATACCTATAGAAGATGATTTATTTCAAAAAGAAGAAACAGAAAACCGTAATTTTGTAAAAAAAGTCCCAAGATTGCCTTTACGAAGAGATTACTGTAGTAGTCACCCGCGACCGTGTATAATAATTATTAAATGTACAATTTTAGTTCATTTCATTATCACTAGATTGTGTTTGCACGCTAGCGACTGTTTACACAGTAAACTCATGGTAGAGGTACACGGAAGAGAAATCCAATTTACCTCTCCTTTGTACGCCTGTACCTCTTTGTACGTCATGCTAAAGAATTACCCTGTCACCGTGCATTAGTATTGAACGAGACCCGTTTGAACCACTGCGAACTGGTTTAATCGAGTTAAATTACATAATTTTACTTGTATTTCTCACCGTGAAAGACAACTTTATTTCTGTGTATGTCATAACGAGGCGTGACACGTACAATCAGTTGGAATTCATTGTTACAAATTGTGCCTTTTAGAAAAAGTGACAGTTTCTTTATATCTGTGGGATGGCTCAATATCAACTAGAGGCTCTCAACTCGGTCGAGCGCCAAGCCAGGAGACTAATTGTCGACGAGAAGGTTGAATTTAAACTTCGTAGCTTATTGATTTTTGTAACACCACAACCTAACAAATATAAACACTAAACCATTTAGTAACCTCGCCTTGCCGCTAGATGGCGTTGGGATCAAAATAGAACGCGCTGTCGAAGTGTTCACAGGAAGTATTGATTATTGATTGAAGAAATTTATATTGTTCATTCAGATGGAGGATCGAATCCAGTCCCGATAAAAGCGCGGCGGTATTCTTCACGAGAAGTTACTCGTTCGGTCGTAGGGTACAAAACCTAATCCCGATTCCGCTTTGCGGCGGCCCAATCCCTTGGGAGAACACGGTCAAATACCTAGGGGTTACGCTCGATAGGAAGCTGTCATTCAAAGCAGACGTGAAAACCGTCCGCGATCGCGCCCATTTTGTAATGAGCTGCCTCCACCCCCTTCTCAACAAGCATAGTAAACTCTCCCTTCGTAATAAGGTGAGACTGTACACGACCTGCATCCGCCCAATTATGATGTACGTCAGCGTCGCATTCACACAGGCGAACCGCGCCCTCATACATCGCCTGTAGGCTCTCCAAAATAGATTCATGTGCAACGCGACGGGTGCCCCGTGCTGCTTGCGCAACGCTAACCTCCACAATAGATTTACGGACAAGAGCACAATTCATGAAACAGGCATCGAGGAAATACCTCGACTCTGCTCCTCACCACCCCACTACATCCAATTATAACCCCCTCAGGGAACCCACCCCGCCGCGTACGTAGGATCCGTGTCGGCCAAGGAAAGTCCTCAACGACCCTGACGACCCTATCACTCTCGCCACTTTTAAGGCCTACCAGATCGCAAGTCAGCCCTTCTGGTCAAAGTCTTCAGTAGCGCCCTGAGCCGAGGTCAATGCCCACTTGGGCATTTTAGGGATTAAGAACCTTCAGCTCGCCCTTTTGTCAAGGCCATTAGCAGCCAACTGCAAAATATCATTAAAAAATACATATTCTTCATTAACGGGTTGAGATCCTTTAGCTCGCCCTTTCATCCGATGGCGCAGTCAGGACCATCAGCAGCCAACTGCAATGTCCTTCAGACTAAAAAATATAATCGGAGCTAGGGTGGTACGCCTCTGCTTCCACATGTGGGACTGGACAGCTGGTTGAAACTAGTTACCTCATCCTCGGGCACTCCGTAGCACCGCCTACAATGCTTCAACACAAGCTTCCACTTGTAGGACTCTCCTGAAACGTAGTAGCGCCTGGTCTGCGAGATAGGCCAAGCCTCCATAACCCGCTTCGACTCTAAACCCTCCGGTACTGCTGTCGTATTAGAATATCGACTAATATTGTAGATAGAGTTACAAGAATTGGCGAGGATGTGGGTTATATTTTTCTGTACCTAATAGAGCAATAAACATATTTGACGTAACTCCACTTATGCCATTCTTCCAGGTGCGAATATGGTGGCAGCACATTCCTGGACGAACTCTTTTACAAGGAGCTCTACTGCTACAAAGAAAGGTTCGATTCTTTGCAATGTTAACTGCGCTATTGAGTATTTTTGAACTTGTGTTTCCCAAAAACTTTAGTTTGGGACCATTCAAGCCCGGAGTGGATAGGTATTTTTTAGACAAATTTGTACCGTCTTCGATTATATAGTCGCTTAATTTAAGCCGAGACTGAGGTCAATCATGCGTCCATTTTCCATAGAAAAACAATAATGTCGCCTAGTGTAGACTTCGGTCTAAAATACCCCACAAATAATTTCACCGGGTTGAAATAAATTCACAGATCTCGAACTTTTCCCGCGTTTGTTCTATGTATACCAATCATCATTATTCAGTAAAAATAATTGGAAATGTACAAAAAGATATACCAATCATTACTGAATTTCCTCGTAAACGTCTCTGCGCTGCGGATTACAGGAAATTGTATTCCCGATTGGCCATCCAATTCGAGAATAATTATTCACGAAATTTTCGCTGACTTTAATACCATAATAAGATAACGCTATACAGAAATATGCTAAGTAGGAATTAAAAGCAGTAGAGCTGCTTAAGAAAGACTTCATCCGGGGAAGTACTGCTACCATAGATACCCATTGTCGCCAGGCAATTAATAAATAATAAAATAAATAAAAAGAGTTTATTTAGGTTTACTTAATCCTAGTTTACGTCAAGGTGGCTGGAGAACTCAATTTTAGCAAAAGAATTGCTTGTGCTAATAGACCCCGCTCTTCCATGTTTGGGTTCTATGTGACCAGGTAACTTACGGCCAGTTTAGTTATACTGGATAATTAATTAAATTAAAATAGTAAAAATGTGTGTGTGTGTCTGTGTCTGTGTCTGTGTGTGTGTGTGTGTGTGTGTGTGTGTGTGTGTGTGTGTGTGTGTGCGCGCGCGCGTGTGTGTGTGCGCGTGTGTGTGCGCGTGTGTACGTGTGTATGTGTGTGTGTGTGTGTGTTTGTGAAATTACAGGCATATGGTACTTGTCAACTTTATGTCTCAAGGTGATGACCGCAGTGGCAATACCCTCAGGTCTCTCACTCAGGTCCGAGTGGTACGGTATCTATTCCGGTTAGGTGGCTCCAGGAGCACGAGTTATTCGTCTCGTCGTTGTATGATATAAACATAAAAATTCGAAAGCATATTTTTCGTTAAACATATGAAATAGTATTTTACTAAATAGAATTTCAAATCTTTTACTATTTTTAACTCCTGCTTCACATATTTTTTCTATGTTTATTGTAGATGTAACTAACGGTCAACCTCCCAGTATTTCAAGAAGAACTGTATTTAGCAAGAGAAGCTATTATCATATATACAGGTATATATTATATATACAGGTATCTGTATTGTTTTTTTTAAGCCAAGTCAATTTTTTTTTCAGTGGCATTGCAAGGCAGCGGTTCAGCTAGTGTTTGAAATACAGTCCTTCATGTTCTTCTTAAAGTGCCTGTTCTTCTCAACTACTGGCGCTTAGCCGTCAGTTACATTAAGAAAAATAGAAAACAAGTGAAGCAGGCGTTAAATATAATAAAATATTTGAAATTTTATTTAGTAAGAGACTTTTTCAACGAGAAATATGCTTGAAATTGCTATAATTTGCGCCCTGACGAGATTAAACACTTTAATCTTTAGAAACTTTTGCGGACGCAAGTACAACAACTCACAAAAGTTTGACCGCAATCAGATGAATGATAATAAATATATCAGACAGTATCACACACGGTGTTCTGATCCCAAATTAAGTAATTAAAGGACTTGTCTTATATGAAAATCAATATGCAAGCCACTCAACCCCTGACGTCATCAAATAAATCGTGAAAAACACCATCAAATCATCGTCATCGTCGTTATTTAATAATGGAACGCGTACGAGACAAATAAAAATTCATTCCGATAATTTTTTATCTAATTCTATTGGTATATAAAATCGGCCGTAGCATCCTCTGCCTATTATTATTTTAAAGTATTTTCTGTTACCCCAAAGTTCCTTAAACTAGATTGATATCTAGCAATTAACTGTCTAATGTAGTAATTCTTTTGTCTATGTCTGTACTTTGTTCTTATACTCGATAAATATTTTATTTTTATTTAAATTGTGTTACATAGCACTAAGAAGGACAGTCAAGAGGATACGGGCAATGACAAAAAATGATTATTTTTGAGCAAGTATCTCTATTTACTAGCGTATTAGATGCGGCGTTCCACACACACGCTTTGTTTTACTGATGTGCATTGAAGACACAACTCTTCAATATCATAGATTAATAAGCAACAGAGTGTTCTGACTACACAACAACAGAGTAGGGATAATATGAGTAAAATAGTTACTATGGTTACCATAT